ATGCAGAGCTCTGTCACCTGACCTGAAGGCAGAGTCGTCGTCTTCCAGGAGGGTCCTTTACCTTGCTTGTCATCCAGGGTTTCTGGCTGAAGAAGACACAGATGTGCTTCTCAACAGTGACATTATCAGCACAGTACTTTATATAAGACAGAACCGACAGCAGTGATAATCACTACTGCTAGCTCTCTTGGAAGAAAGAATGGACGGCATTTAACTGAAATAAACTCTAGGTCAGGAGAACAGTCACTATCTATGATTATACTGTTTTTTGACCAGTCACTGTGCACATAGTTGCCAAGACCCCCCTCCTCTGATCTCACCAGAGTCTTTGTTTCTGTCCCCGTGGATCGTGCTGCCTGCCAGCTGCACTGCTGCGTCTCGTATCAGCGGGTGAAGCCAGGTGTCAGTTATTATCATAACACAGCAGCCGTGAACATAGTGATTTCCAGCGTTTAATAGTTCCAGTTTGTCCATTTTCTGTGCCATGGATCTTGCGTTAGTGAGTAGCATGCTCAGTAGGGATGGCTTGTGTGGTTGTTTCCTGCGTCTCACTAATAGGCCGGACTGGCATCCCCACTTCTGCTTCCTCACACATACTAAGCAGGGGTCCATAAGGAGTCCAGAAGGGTTCGCACATTCCAGTTTGCCACTGTATGGTTTATTGCTTTTTTGTTTCGACTGCAAGGTGAAATGTCCTGATAGGTGCGGTAACCTACCAGGAAGGGGTTGAATGGGCACCATTTTTTTGCCACCATTTGTAGGCCTCTCCTCACTAAGGGTCCCTAAATAGGGCTGCTGAGTCACACCGGGGTCTGCAGAGAGCAGCTGCCACTCAACCCCAGCTGCTAGTGACCAGCTGACCACTGACAGGCAGGGGTCTGACTAGGGGCTTCCAGCTCAGTCAAACCGGCCCCCATCACCAGACACCCCATCACAGCCAGACTGTCTGAGGTTGGCTCCAGATGTTTATCACCAGGGTAAAAAGTGGAGACCTGCACAGTGAGATTTCTTAGAGAGCCACAGGGGGTGTGCATTCCCCAGTAGCACCTGATGGCTGAGAGGGGCCCATTTCCAGTGCAAAGAGGTTGGCCCAAGATGACTGGCAGCCTTCCCTAGCTGCAGACGGCCGCCGGTTCCTCGGTCTGTCGAGGTCCGCCTGCATGTGCTGCCCCCACCTCATTTTCCTCTCAGGGTTTCCCCTTAGCCTTTGTTCATCCCAGACAGCCCACAAGGCAGTGGGGCAGTGGCTGTCAGCCTGCCGCTGGGGACCACTGCAGCTGTCTCGCTCTGTGGTGATATCCGTGATTATCTGCTGGATCCGGACTGAGTGCAGACCAGGGTACAGCCTTTCACTGTGTAGAGAGTCAGATCTCCTCCATTTTATTCTCCGGGGACCCAACACTGGCAAGAAGTAGGCTGGGAAGTGGTGTGACTTTAGGTCCAGATTAAATGACATTTTATGACTGACTATGTCTGATTTCTTCTAGTTATCAACCCTGTAGGAAGTTCCAAAGTGAAAACTTTTGAGAAATTAACAGCACAAGCAGGAGGATCCATCAGCATCCCGTGTTTCTATGGTCAGGAGCACAAAGACAGTGTGAAATCCTGGTGTAAAGGGAGAGACACGTCATCCTGCAGCCCAGAGACACGCAGTGACTCCCAACTGGCCATGAACAGAGTGTTCATCACTGATGATCCCCAGAACTTAGTCTTCATTGTGACCATGAGGGACCTGCAGCACATGGATTCTGGCTCTTATTGGTGTTGTGTGGGTGATGGATGCAGAAGATCTGAGGATTCCTCTGGGAAACTGGAGCTGTTGGTTTCTACAGGTAAGTTGTTTGATCCTTTTCTTATGAACAGCTCTCTCATTGGTAGCACTTTCATGAAAATGTTGATGGCTGAGGTGGTTCATTATTTCCTCTATATGTCTTTCACTCTTTCCCAGCATCTCTGCTTTGCATATAACAAAGAATGTTCAAATACTGATTCTCAAAATCACATCTGATTATTCTCCATTAAACTCTCAGGTCTGAAATCATCTTCTTTTGCCTGTACTGTAATTTCTCCTCTACATTCAGTTTTAGTGAAAGCAGGACTGTCCAAAAGTTAATGAAAGAGCTATTTTTCCTACTGTGTCCAAACTGCTTAAATTGACAGTTACAGAATGAATAATTTGTTATGTGTCAGGAAACTGGTCATAAATAGTGTAAACATCTCTTTTCCATGTCTAAACACCCGTTTCCTGTTAATATAAGCTCTGACGGCCCTTTGTGCCTTGGAATAAAAATGGTAATTTATGTGCAGTTTAATAATGCATCATGACTTTGCTGTCCCTGCCCTGTCAGGCTGGGCTCTGCAATGCCTGTATATGTCTGTGTGAATATGTCTCCTTCCCTTCATTCATTCACTCACTCACTTCTGCTGCCATAATCACCGTATGTGACCTGTCAGGCTGTTATTTTATGTTTTTAATGTTCTATTTTGCATGAATTGTCCCCATAGAGGTTAGGAGTGTGAGGACCGTGAGCTGGATAACTGCAGAGAGAGGAGGATCTGTCACCATCCCATGTTACTATAATGAAGCTTATAAAGATCAAGTGAAATCCTGGTGTAAAGGAGATAAATGGGATTCCTGCTCCAGAACAGCACAATCAGACAGGAACCAGGTTGGAGGGAAAGTGTCAATCTCTGAAAACCGTGACCAAATGGTGTTTAATGTGACCATGAGAGACCTGCAGAAGGGGGATTCTGGGTATTACTGGTGTGAAGTGAAGCATGATGAGAGGACATATGACAAAGCATTTCTGCCCCTGATGGTCTGGGAAGGTAAATGTTTTTTTTTTTCTTTTTTCTGAAGTCAGATTAACCCTTTCAGGCTCAAATTGAGTTTTTGTTGCTAAAGGACAACCAAGACCTGCAGTGGTACTTTTGAGTAAAAAAAAACGCATTAAAATATGTATCTGGGGTAATAAGGTAGTTAGTTTTTAACTGTTGCAAATCAGCAACGCCTGCCTTGAGAGGGTTAACAAGAAGAATGTCATGTGTTAATTATTTAATATAGAATTGGTTGTATTCAGCAGTATATACTCTCCATGCAGGCTGTGAGTGTTGATTCCGACCTCCTTGTGTGCTGTGTACTGTATATGTGTACCTGCTGTGCACTGTGACCAAGATATGCAGCTGGAAGGGGACTGAATGCATTTCCAGTGAAATATGCGGCTTTATGACTAAATCATTGATTTTCTTCCAGCTAATGGTCGTACAGGAAAGTCTAAAGTGGTGACATTCAAGAAGTTAACAGGAGAAATAGGAGGATCTGTCACCATACCATGTTTCTATGGTCAGAAGCATAAAAACCCTGTGAAATCCTGGTGTAAAGAGGACAGTCTGAGATCCTGCAGCAAAGAGAAACGCAGTGACTCCCAACTGGCCATGAACAGGGTGTCCATCACTGATGATCCCCAGAACTTAGTCTTCATTGTGACCATGATGAACCTGCAGCAGTCAGATTCTGGTCATTACTGGTGTGCTGTGGGTGGTGGTCAGGGGAGATCTGAGGATTCCTCTGATAGACTGACCTTTACAGTCCGTGTGGGTAAGCTCATTCAACCTGTTCTCTTTATTTATATCTCAGTCATTTCACACGCTTCATAATGAGTGGTTCCAAAGCACTTACTGTATGAAACTGGGATTAAGTTGTTTTAAAGCATCTATTCCAACTTTCTTTAGTGTTCCTTGCTGCACTACAGGACACATATTCCAGCATCTGTATAAAAATCAGGAATGGTGACACTATAGTGATGATTCCTTCTCACTTGTTTATAACAGTGTAGGAGAGAGTATGACATTGGGTGGCGGGGGGCGGGGGGGTGTATGGGGGGAGCACAACCACATCATTTAAATACTAAAGTACATCCCTGTGCAAATTAATTGAAACAAGCTGTGACACAGACATGGATGCAGTGGTCTGGATCCTACTGGTTTGAACAGCGAAAACGGCAAAGAGTACGCTGAGTGGATGGACAGAGGAGGCGCTGTGCCCACAGACTGGCAGGCCTGGTTGGGTGCGGTTGTAGCTGAGTGGTGTAACTGTGCTTCAGCCATCCATGTATGTTTCAGGTGAATGTTCTGGGGTTCAGCTGCCTCCCCGTGTCATTGTCGGGTTTCCTCTGGGTTCTCTGGTTTCCCCCCACAGTCCAAAAACATACTAAGATTAATTGGAGTTGCCAGATTCCCCACAGGCATGAATGGTGTATCTGTCCTGCGATGGATTGGCGCCCCATCCTGGGTTATTCACATACAGTTTTTATCAAACCATCAGGTCCTGAATCCAGACCCAAGGTGATAAGTATGAATTAATGTCACTGTGATGTTTGTCATAACTGTGGTCAGTCCGTCTAAATATAGACGTGACAACTTGTTTAAATTCATTTGCACAAGGGTGTATTTTTATTGGGGGATGAATGAAGTCCCTTGTCCCCCCAGTTCCTGCACCCCTGACTGATTGTACCTGTCTGACTTCATAATCAGTGCTATTATAACCACATGTAACTGCTCAGACTCTATTAATATGTCTCCCTAACCCTCCCCCATTCATATATTGTCCCCATAGAGGTTAAGGATGTGAGGACTGTGAGCTGGGTCTCTGCAGAGAGAGGAGGATCTGTCACCATCCCATGTTACTATCATGAATATCATCAATCTAAAGTGAAGTCCTGGTGTAGAGGAGATGTATGCGGCTCCAGATTAGCACAGTGTGACCTGGGACAGAATGGAGGGAATGTGTCAATTACTGATGACCGTCACCAAAGTGTATTTCATGTGACCATGAGGAACCTGCAGGAGGAAGATTCTGGCTCTTACTCATGTTGTGTGGGTGGCAGTTTCAATGCCTCTCTGGCCCTGATAGTCCGGGAAGGTAAGATGTTGTTAATGTACAATGAGGACCTGACAGTAACATATTGAATGTCTATCAGAAAAGTTTTCCCAGTAAAGACTTTCATTGGCGTCTTTCATTTACGTCTGAGTGAATACAGTCAGTGTCTGCAACGCCTCCTTTGTATTGATAGGAACTTCCTTTGTATATATATCAATGTAAAAAGCAGCTGAGGTCTGGTGGTACAAAAGCAGACTGTAGTGAATCAGACGCTGGCTGTTTAACCTGCATCCCTGCACTGTGTGTCTGTTTGTGTATTTACATTTAGTGCTGGTGCCACATTCTCAGTCTTCATTTATATTGAACTAATCCAGTGGTCTTTCACATGATCCTCAGTATTTCATGTCCCAACCCATCATACGACACTGAGAAATACCGTTTNGTAGTGAATCAGACGCTGGCTGTTTAACCTGCATCCCTGCACTGTGTGTCTGTTTGTGTATTTACATTTAGTGCTGATGCCACATTCTCAGTCTTCATTTATATTGAACTAATCCAGTGGTCTTTCACATGATCCTCAGTATTTCATGTCCCAACCCATCATACGACACTGAGAAATACCGTTTCTTCACCTTTTCCTTTGACATCCAATTCATCAGGACAGAACTCTACAAATTCCAGTGAAAGGTAGGACATGTATCTGGATAGATTCCTGGGGTCCAGCACTTTATAGGGGCCCCAAATGCTGCAGTGCCCTCCCTCCCCCACACTAGCCTACTCAGTAAAATCTCACGTGGGACCCCTTTCCCCCCCAAAGGTGATCATTGTTGAAGGTGCTGTCAGGGGGCCCAGAATTTTTTAGCTGCACCCCTGCATATATAGATAATATGTGGTATCAGATACACTGGAAGAATCTTACATTTTGTTGTTTTCTCTGCCAGCTCTGCTGTGCTCATTTTCAATCATCTGCAGTAGGAAACAGTGTTACGATACAGCATGATGGAAGGGATGATCCACAGTGTGGCTGGGTGACAACAAGCAAGGAATGACAGGAACAAAAGGGACCATGAGGGGTGAAAACAAAGGCTAGAGATAAACCAAGAACTAAACAGGCAATAACTAAACGCAAGGAAAAACTCACACCAAACAGGATTCATGGAGAACAGGACAGGAAAATGCAGGAAGAAAATACAACACGTACCAGCACATAAAATGACTGACTGAGGAACAGGGGCAGGTACATATATACACAGGCAATGAGGGCATAACGAGGGGCAGGTGTGGATCATTACTAATAACACACAAGGACCTGGGAACTATGAGGAATAGGAGAGTAATTAACAAGCACTAAAGACTAAGAATATATGTGAAAAAAAACACAACTAGACACGGGCAGAAACAAAAGATACAGAAATCAAGGAACTATACAAGAACGTAATTAGCATGGAGTAAACATGGGGAAGCCTGGTTCTAACAGTTCTAAGCCGCACGCTCATCCCATTCAGCCATGCAGTGGCTGGGGAGCAGGGGAACACACTAGGAACTGTGAAAGGTAGCAGACACAGAAAGGAATGGAAATTCCAGCGACACCTGCTGGCCATACAGGGAACCGACAGACACCGCAGGGACTGATCCTGACAAACAGTCAATGACATCAGATTTGTGGACTTCACTGTCATTCTGTCCTGTTTCAGAATTCCAGTATGGGAGGTGGAAATATCCTGGGTATTTCTGTTCACCATAGTCTTAAATGTAAAACAACATAACCTTAGATGTTTGCAGGCTTCCCATTACAGGAGTTGTATAATTATTTTCTCTGTGGGTGATGTTTACAGGATTCTCTCTTTTGCAGAATTGTTGTCTGTTGGTATTATATGATTGTGGTTGGAATGAGCTCTTTGATTATTCTGTTTTTGGTCCTTC